AAGCATCTATGAAAGATTTATGACTACCTTTCATCCTCAACTTATTGCCTCTTCTGGATAGACAGTGAGATAATTTGATATATTTGGTTTGGACAGAATGTGAATTTTATTGATTTTTCATTAACTTGCATCCTTACATACCCATTGTAAAAATGGCATTGTAAAGCAACCACATGACATATTTTGCTACCGCATTTTTTTCATATATTCAGTGATCAGATCGTACATCTATTTTTTCATATATTCTCACCACCAAAATCAGTATCATCAGGTTCTGTGATAAGGAAATAAAGTTTAAAAGGATAGCATCTTTCAAATAAAATAAATGCCTTTATTAATGGCCAAAGTATTTCCTGTCTTTAAATGAAAATTATTAAATTATATAAATACTGTAGATCTTTTTGAAGTCTTCTAAATTATTAAATCAAGTCATGTGATTTAGCAGAAGCCTAAATTACTATTACTTACTGGGATTCCACTGTTAGAAATTAAGGAAAATATCCTAAATTCTAGCAGTATATTTTTTTTCAAGTATAATAACATATCCATGGAACAATTTGTAGCAGCCTTCATGAAAGAAGTGTCAATCTTTTCCTTTTTTGGAAAAATATTTCTGAAATTGGTCAAGGATAAGTGTACTACAAAGCACTGCTAGCCAATCAAGAATAGGGGACACAGTCCTACAAAAATAAATACAAGGTCAATACTCTGTCATAGTGGAAGCACTAAGCCCTCCTGGCCTCATTAATGTCCATTTATCTTATCCAAACATAATTTGTGCTCCTTAACAGGACAATAACCTCTCTTCTGCCTGGGTGATGAGGCTAACAATTGGTGCTACCCTTAACATTTTAAATCAGGACAGTTTAAGGGCAATGACTGTTAAATTCTTTGATTCTGTTTCCTATCACAGAGCATTAGCTTACCAGGAGGAAAACAACCGTCAATTACTATAGTTGCTATGCTTCATCTCAATTTAAGGGGCACTACATACCCCTTTTTTTCCTTTCCACTTCTACAAATGTTTCTGGATCTCATATTGAAGTACAACTGTTTAACCCAGCATGGAAGAATAGCATGTTTAATGGCTTGGACCTTTCAGATACCGTAGTTTTGCCCTCTGGAAATGCCACTGTTAAAATGGAGCTGAAGAATTCTGGAGATGTTGCCATCAGTTTGGCCCCGAAATATCACAGAAACACTTCTAGCATCTAGTCTTCTACTCTGATTATTAGAGCTATATTCCTATCAAATTTGCCATAAGATGCAGTATATAGGTATCTCAATGACATGCTTTATTCTCTGTCTGTCATGGTCATGCCACAACATTCAAGTTACACCCCTTTATATTATTTACGTAAGTCACGGGTGTCAAACTCACCGTCCTGTGACATGTCACAACGTATCATGACTCTTTTTGCATTGCCGGCAATGGGGTGGGCGCGTCTTTGGTATGGCGTCTTTGGTATGGTGAGCCCTGAAGGCCCATCTATTCCGTGCGGCCGGCCTGGCATAGTTTGATTATGTTTTAGTGGGGGTTTTGTATGGGGTGTTTTTAGAACAGGCCTGTTATTTAATTTGATTTTAGAACAGAAACTATTTATTTATTATCGTGGTTTTTAGTATCGCCTGTTCACCGCCCTGAGTCCCGTAAGGGAGATAGGGCGGTATATAAATTTAATATTATTATTATTATTATTATTATTATTATTATTATTATTATTATTATTATTATTATTATTATTATTATTATTATTATTACACGTGTTCCGACTTCTTATCCTGGTATAAAGAACAAAGAAAGACAACTTATTTTCTAGTGTTTTGACTCGTAAACTCCAACCGATATACTAATGTTTAGTCGTAGGATTAGATTCCTTAGGGAAAGGGAAAGAAAAGAAAGAAGGATAGTAGTAAGGCATGGGGAAATGTCTCAAAAGAGAGGACAGTGGTGAGATTCAAATATGTGAACAACCGGTTCTCTGTGTGGATGCCGTTTCCGGAAGTCCATTCTGGGCCTGGGCAACAAAAAAATTAGCTACCGGTTCTGCCGAAGTGGTGCGAACTGGCTGAATCCCACCACTGGAGGAGGAGAGTCAGGTTTTGCTAGCTGTATGTTAGAATAAGTAACACACAATTGTTAGAAGCATTCTTTTTTCCCCCTTTTAAATCCATCTTCCTTTAACTATAAGGCTGGGCTCTACCAAAAGTGCAGTAGTTCATTATTTTTAGACACAGGGAGCTCCCTCCCACTTCACCTTACATTCTGCGCTATTTCTGAGCAGAGCTTTTATGATTCTTGACTGCTAAATCTGTGTCCAGCAGCAGCCTAAGGGAGAGAGCTAACAGATACGGTGGAGGTGTTGCATCGGGTATACCCCTTTCTACTTCAGTCCATCTCCCATATATCCCAAATCCCTAAGAACTGCGGGAGAATGTCAGCGTTCCCTAATTAGTCCAGTTTTTGCCCGATCGCCTGCTCCTCAAATTAATTACAGCCAGTTAGCAGAACTCATAACTTCCTAAAGAGACGCGCGGGCTAAATGCACCCCTTCCACGGATACACGGGTGACCAGACGTTGAGAAACATCATTCCGAAGTCGGAGGCCGAAGGTAAGTCCTGCCACATGTTAGCAACAGGCAGAAACCGGATTTAAAGGGCTGTAATAAGGCACCACCACGGAGAAAATTCCATCCACATATAGGCAAACACTTGCCTATATATTTGCCATATCAGCAAATACTTGCCAGCTCAGCCACGCTATAAGGAGGCGGAAATGTGAAGTGTAAACAATGTACGTTTAGCTTGGACACAAGCGACTCGCCGAGAGGAGGGTCACCCGGGAAGGCTTGGCCTCTGTCTGGCCCCGCCCCTTCCTTCTGGCTCCGCCTGGGCTGGTTGCGTCAGCTCCCGAGAGCTCGAGGTGCTGAGCGGCGAGGGGAGCTGTCCAGAGGCGTTGAGTGCTGAAATCGTGGCCGCTCGAGTCAGCGGCGCCCTCTCCCCTCTCTTCTTTTCTTCCCCCCCTCCCTCCAATTCTTTCCGCTACTGCCGCTAATTTCCCGGGCCCATTTTCTATCGGAGATGTTTCTTCCCCGCGCACACCACAAACGGCTTATTGACAGCGATTGCCGGTGTTGGAGATGGCGAGGGGCGGGAGACCAAGACTGGGTTGCAACTTAAATTTATCCTCCTCCCCTTGCCTTTTCGGTCTTAGCTTTATTTATTTAAGGATTGGACAAGAGGTGGAGGAGGAAGAGGAGGAGGAGGCGGAGAAAGAACCACGTCCCACCCAGCCTCCCTCACTCCCGCCCTTCTTCAACATCCCCATTTGCACCGCAAAACTATCCTTTCCCATTGCATCCCAAGGAGGTAGCAACAGCCACATCATCACGGGAAGCCGGATGGAGAGTTGAGAAAGGCTGCCGACCAAGAGAAGCCAAACTGCCGAGACGGGGAGGGGAGGTAGAAAAGCTGCAAGCGAAACAACCCCCCCCCCTTTTTTTTTTTTTTTTTTTTGTCGCCGAGCTTTGAGTCTGGCGCGTCGTTTTTCTAGCGAACCTTCGCCTTCTTTTTGGCAACCCTCCCTAGCAAAGCGAGGATCCGATCTACGGCTGTTGGTTTGTGTGTTTCCTCCTTTTATTTTAAAGACTTGCAATGGTTGAGCGTCAATGCCATTGAGCGAAAACAAGCATCAGAGAAGGAGGAGGAGGAGAAGGAGAAGGAAGAGGAGGAGGAGGAGGAAGAGGAGGATAGGAGAAGACGAGGCAGATGCAACGGGAGAGAGTTGTAGCGGCATCCTTTTCATCAAAGGGAGATCCCTGCATCTGCTGAATGCACCTTTTCTTCCGTGTCAGCCACGATGGTCTGTAAGGACTGTCACTGCGTTTGATGACGTTCCTGTTTTGTGAAAAGGGGAAAGGAAACGTGACGATGTAAGATCCAGATTTCGCTGAATCAATTTCATGCAAAAGGATCTCTTAGAACTCGACGGAGGTGTGTTTACCTCAAGCCCAAGACGGAAAACAATTATGGAATAACTCAGATTTAGGTCCTCTCCCCAATCTCCGGGTTTTGTTTTGTTGGGGTTCCCCCCCCCCCAGTGGTTGCGTGTAGTCCAGACAGTTCCTCGAACGCGGGAGGTAAAGCAAAATCCAGCCAATCTTGGAGTCAAAATTAACCCTCTCTAATATTCACTTCCTTTCAGGACTTTTTCTATTTCTATTCAGAATATTTTAATAAAGTAGTAAATGGAACATCCTACGGGGAATTAAAATTAAGCATGTGTTTCTCTCTCTCTTCATGAAAAATGTGCTTTTTTTTCCTTTGGGTTAGTGAAATCCAATTTTGATATTACTATTCTTAATGATGGCGATAGCAACAGAAACTATTTTTGCATTTTAATAATTATTGCCTCTACTGTTGTTCTATCAAAAGCACATGTTTAAACGTTCCTAAGTTTAAAAACTAGTAATAAGGAGACTATTTGATATGTCAAATACTTTTGAACGAACCGTTTCTTCCCTCTCTCCACACTTTCTAGTGACTTGAATTCTCTCTCCCTCATCCACTTTCTGCTTCTGGAATTATCAGTTCCCTTCTCGATATTTCTTTGAACTAGCCTACCCAGCACGTAAAGGGTAGAACGCTTGTTCCTATTTTATTTTATTCTTTTTGTTACAAAAAATTCTGGGATTGTTTATTTTTTAAAAAGGTGGGTGGGAAGGAGACTGAAATTTAATACTTTGCTTTTTTAAAAGGAGAGAGTTGGGGGGAAAAGAAGGGGGAAAAGTCATTATCTTTTGCCCGCATGCTGTGAAATATACAAAAAAAAAATTCTGCCAATTTTCCAGTTTTGTTAGTAAACTAGTCTGTCTCGGTGAGGATAGGGTCGGAGCCAAGGGAAAGGAAGCGGAAGTGAACCAATTCAACCCTCTTGTTCTTGTGCGCCCTCTACCGGTCTGCATTTTTCTTGCCCGCGCCTGTCTGAAAGAGAAGGCACATGTTAATATCAACTCGCGTGATCGTTTTATGGTACTGTTGCTCTGGACTGTTGATCCCCAGACAGATGTTGCACCATCAGGGTCTCCTCAAGTGCCGCTGCCGCATGTTGTTCAATGACTTGAAGGTCTTCCTTCTGCGGAGACCCCCGGCCCCTCCTCCGCCCTCGCCGCTGCCTCTCCCTCCCATGAGCAGAACAGACCAAGCCTTGAGTTTACAGGCGTCTAATAACAACACGCTGACTACGCTATATGGAGGGCTACGGGCACCTCGGAGAGCGCCGACTGACGGGGGTGATGGTGGTGGAGGAGGAGGAGGAGGAGGAGGAGGAGGAGGGGGCATCACGAGCCCTCCAGAAGAAGAGTGGGAAAGCCCTGGGGGAGAGGGAGAGCTTCCCACGATTGTGATGAGCAGCGCCTCCTCCGACGACTTCTGCAAAGGAAAGGCGGAGGATGGGTATTCGCTGGGGAGCAGTTTGGATAGTGGAATGAGAACGCCTCTCTGCAGGATCTGCTTTCAGGGCCCAGAGCAGGTGAGTGTATGAATGAAACCAGTGGGGTCCCAGGTAAAGACGGTCTAGTACAGGGGTAGTCAACCTTGGCTCTTTTATGACTCGTGGACTTCAACTCCCAGAATTCCTTTGCCAGCACAGCTGGCTCGGGAATTCTGGGAGTTGAAGTCCACGAGTCATAAAAGAGCCAAGGTTGACTACCCTTGGTCTAGTAGGTGTGAACTGGCACCTGCACACCTTTCTAGCTGAAGTCTTCTGGCTACTTTCTCTTCCCCCATCCCACTTCACTTGGGACACCTCCCAGCTTCATTCCTTCCAAAAGCTGTCTTAAGGTTTTGACCTTAAGACACCAACTGGTGGGGATTGCCAAGCTTGTCTGTACTCTATAAAGTTTGGGGAGAAAGAACTAAGGAGCAGAATGTCCCAACCTGTAACTTTTTAATAGAAAGAACAGGCCTATGGCATAGCAACAGGAAAAGCTCAGGACACCCATGTACAAATGAAAGAAAGCTGTATCACCAGGGCCAAGCATTTGTGTGGTTGCCTGAATACACAAAGCTAAAGTCAAGGAGCTTACAGTAGAAGAGATCAAGGATCATCTCGATAGGTGATTTGGTAACTGAACTTGTTCTCCTTCACTTCTGCTTCAGTTTTCCATTACACCCCTTCTCCCTCCACTTGGTGTTCTCACTTAAGTTGTGTTAGTCCGTGGTATCCATTATCCACAACCTTCCAAATGCTGCCAGGGGATGATAGCAGATACATTACTATACAACTGGAAGGTGCTGGATGAGAAAAATTAATGCTGCTTCACAGCAAGTTAAGGGGTGTACTTCCTTCTAACAGATCTGAGTGAAAGAAAAAGCCTATTTTGTGGAATTTTTTGCAAATTGATACTCTTTAGTGTAAGAAGCTTAAAACACTCCTTTCTGAAAGTTAATATGCTTGTGTTATCTCTCTAGATCAGGGGTCTCAAACTCGCAATGTCTCGTGACATGTTGCGACGTATCGCAACTTTTTTTTCCATTGCTGGCAATGGGGTGGGTGCGGTTTCGCTATGATGCATCCAGCCTGCGGGCTGGCAGTTTGACACCCCTGCACTAGATCAATAATATAAAAATATCAACTTTATTTCAACTTTGAACTTTTTTGCATACAACCAGGCATCATTCCAATTTAAAGCCTATTTGTGTCTTTTTATTGCTGTTTTCCTGTTGTGTCTGGATATTTTCATAACTTTTGTTGAACTGTTGGATGTGTACCTTGATAGAGAAAGGTGTGGTTTTCTGAAAAGTTTGTAGTGAGTACTCTGTGTACACTAGTATCTCAGAATCATCGTGAAAGAATTAACTTGTGTTGCAATGACTTTATTCTGTTTCAGGTGATAGATGCACACTGTAGGCTTGCTCTATAAAACTACTAACAAGTTCAGCAGTATGTTTGTGCACTTAATTGATTTCATATCTTAAAAATGGCTCTGAACTAGCTATAAAGTTTTTTCCATATATTTTATTTAAATCAAATTAAGCTATATACAGGTAGTTCCCAACTTACAACCACCTTGGGACCACAATTTCCGTTGCTAAAAAAAAGGAGTTGTTAAGTGAGTTGTACCAAATTTTGTGCCACAGTGGTTAAGCGAATCATGTGGTTATTAAGCAAATCCAGCTTCCCCTTTTGACGTTGCTTGTTGGAAGTTGGCTGGGAAGGTCGCAAAGGACAGTCACACCAACTTAGGATGCTGCAATAATCATAAATACATGCTGGTTGCCAAGCTCTCGAATTATGATCACTTGACCATGGGGATGCTCCAATGGCAAGGGCAAAAACTGGTTGTAAGCAACTTTTTTCAGTGCTGTGGTAACTTTGAATGGTCAAAGTTCAAATGCCTATAAACAGAGGGACTACCTGTAGGCAGGTTATAGTAGACAAATATGCAGCAATAGACACAATAGTTGATAGATGCCCATATTACATAAAACAATTGACTACTAATTTCCCTTTTGTCATCAAGCAGTTATATTTTACAGCAGAACGGGAATGCACTGTTTTCCTGGTCACAGCTGAACTACAATTCACGCAAACTCAGGCAACATGATAAATGTAGGAATGCTGAGAATTTTTGTTCAGCAATACCAGGAGGGCCATAGGCCTCCCACCTCTGTACAGATTCAGTTGCACAGTGGAATTTTTTAGCTCTGGGCCAAGTAAGTCTTTTTTGTTTCCTAAAATCAGATCCCATGGCTTTACAAGACAATTACACATTGACTAATAACCAAATGCAGATGTTCGGATTAATATGTACTGTAGATTAGAAAAACATTTTTCTGATAATTTTGTTAAAACTTGGTAATATAATAATACATGTATCATATCAAATATATAAAACTCCCTATCCTTGTACTTTTTCTTATACTGTTTTAATTTTAAAAAATCAACGGGAACTGGCGGGTTGCAAATTTGCTAGTCTCTTTATTACTAATAATACTTCTGGGTTTTGTATTATCTTCACACTTAGAAAATTAAACTACTGCGTGGTTATAGCCCAGAGTTTTATTTGGCAATGTGCCCTCCCCCCACCCTCACTTTGTAAAAAGACTACAAAAAGTATTAAAAATCATTCAAGGGACTAAAGAAGACTTTGTGTCACTAATAAAAAAGGTTATTTAGCCCCCAAACAAGGGGATAATACAGAAATTCTTGACCAGGGAGTCACAAATCCCTCGAAAGTTCATAGATAAATTTCAGGGGGTCCATGAACTTGGATGGGAAAAGAAATCAACTTTATTTTTCACTAACCTTTATGCTTTATTTAGCTTTTCATTTAATAATGCATTTGGCAGTGAAGTAACTTATGGCCTTTAGCCTCCAAAAACGATATTTCACTCCCTAAAGGTATTGTTTTGGTATTGTTAATATATTACTAAAGAAGCATATCACGATATTACATAGGTTATTTTTTCATATTTTAGTAATTATACTTGAGCATAATCGGCTGCCTTTGTACTACAGTCTCTATCCATGCCTTTCAATATATTTTTCTGAGAAAGGACTTATAATT